GCCTGCATTTCGCGCACTCGACACGCACGATCTCCGCAGAGGGTTGCACTTTCGGTTGACGCTGTTCGTCCCAGCCTCCGCCTTTAAGAGAGAATTTATAAAGTGGGGAAATGTTCTTTCATTAGGACATCTCCCGTGCTAGTTTTCCATACTCACACTTGCCTACTCATTGCATGCTTGCAAACCCATCACTTGCATACTTACACTGCATGCTTGCATACCCATCACTTGCATACTTACACTGCGTGCTTGCATACCCATCACTTGCGTACCCATCACTTGCATACTTACACTTGCATACTTTGACACTTGCATACTTTGCACTTGGATGCTTTCGCTCTTCCACTTACACTGTGGTGGAAGTGTCAGTGTGTAAGTGTAAGTGTCGAAGTGTCAGTGTATGTAGCGCAAATGTGGTGGAAGTGTCAGTGTGTAAGTGTAAGTGTCGAAGTGTCAGTGTTCAAGGGATTTTCCGGAAGAACCCTTCGCAATGCTTTCGGGAAAAATATATATATATATATACTAGACGACGAGTGGCCCGAAAGCATGTTTCATCACGTAGGAAGTCAGAGTGCGAGTTATCTGTTAAGTGTGCAGTGTGAAGTGTTAAGTCGAGTGAGTTGAGGTAGTGTGTGGGTTTCTGTGCGTGTATCTATGTCCGTGTGTATATGTGTCTGCAACTGTGTGTGTTCGTACTCAACTTGTACTACCCAGTCGCCAGTTCTCATCTTCCAGCTCCCCGGATACTCCGCGTACTAAAGTTGTACTACCAAGTCATTGTACTACCAAGTCACCAGTTCTCATCTGGCCACTCCCCAGATACTCCGCGTACTAAAGTTGTACTACCAAGTCATTCTACTACCAAGTCACCAGTTCTCATCTGGCCACTCCTCAGTTACTCCGCGCACCAAAGTTGTAGTACCAAGTCGCCAGTTCTTCCAGCTCCCCAGCTACTCCGCGTACTACAGTTGTACTACAAAGTCGCCAGCGCTCATCTTCCAGCTCCACAGATACTCCGCGTACTCAAGTTGTACTACCCACTCACCAGTTCTCATCTTCCCACTCCCCAGCTGCTCTGCGTACTCAAGTTGTACTACCAAGTCGCCAGTTCTCATCTTCCAGCTCCTCAGCTACTCCGCGTACTCAAGTTGTACTACAAAGTCGCCAGTTCTCATCTTCCAGCTCCACAGATTGCTCCGCGTACTAAAGTTGTACTAGAAACTCGCCAGTTCTCAGCTTCCAGCTCCACAGCTACTCCGCGTACTAAAGTTGTACTACACAATCGCCAGTTCTCAGCTTCCAGCTCCACAGATTGCTCCGCGTACTAAAGTTGTACTACAAAGTCACCAGTTCTCAGCTTCCAGCTCCCCAGCTACTCCGCGTACTACAGTTGTACTACAAAGTCGCCAGTGCTCATCTTCCAGCTCCCCAGATACTCCGCGTACTCAAGTTGTACTACCCACTCGCCAGTTCTCATCTTCCCACTCCCCAGCTACTCCGCGTACTACAGTTGCACTACCACGTCGCCACTTCTCAGCTTCCAGCTCCCCAGCTACTCCGCGCACTACAGTTGTACTACAAAGTCACCAGTTCTCAGCTTCCAGCTCCACAGCTTGCTCCGCTGCTAACCGAATCGCACTCTCGCCTGCATTTCGCGCACTCGACACGCACGATCTCCGCAGAGGTCGCGCGGTAATTTCACAAATCGCGCTCTCGCCTGCATTTCGCGCACTCGACACGCACGATCTCCGCAGAGGGTTGCGCGGTACTTTCACAAATCGCGCTCTCGCCTGCATTTCGCGCACTCGACACGCACGATCTCCACAGAAGGTCGCGCGCACACCGGACGAATCGCGCTCTCACCTGCATTTCGCGCACTCGACACGCACGATCTCTGCAGAGGGTTGCGCGCGGACCGGACAAATCGCTCTCTCGCCTGCATTTCGCGCACTCGACACGCACGATCTTTGCAGAGGGTCGCGCGCGGACCGCACAAATCGCACTCTCGCCTGCGTTTCGCGCACTCGGCACGCACGATCTCCGCAGAGGGTTGCACTTTCGGTTGACGCTGTTCGTCCCACCCTCCGCTTTTAAGAGAGAATTTATAAAGTGGGGAAATGTTTTTTCATTAGGACATCTCCCGCGCTAGTTTTTCATACTCACACTTGCCTACTCATTGCATGCTTGCATACTCATTGCATGCTTGCATACCCATCACTTGCATACTTGCACTGCATGCTTGCATACCCATCACTTGCATACTTACACTGCGTGCTTGCATAC